GGGCAAGGAGATAGAGGAGGAAGCAGGCTCCCTACGGAGCAGAGAGCCCGATGTGGGGCTCGATATCAGGACTCTGAGATCATGACCTGAGCTGAAGGCAGAGGCTTTAACCCACTGAGCCACCCAGGCGCCCCTCTTTCTTTCTTTCTTTTCTTTTCTTTTCTTTTCTTTTTTTAAAGTAAGCTCCACACCCAGCATGGAGCTCAAGACAAGGCTTGAACTCAGGACTCTGAGATCATGACCTGAGCTGAAATCAAGGGTCGATTGCTTAACTGACTGAGCTACCCAGACACCCCACTTCTATAACCTTTTTTTTTTTTTTTTAAAGAAACTAATTCTATGTGAGTTCACTGAACTGTAACAGATTACTTGTCCATCTCAGCCTCTGGACTGCGAGTTCCTAATTAACAGGGACTTTTCCTTTCATCTCTGAATCACTATGGTAAACCCAATGCCTAGTGGTAAAGAGCCATCAAACATATTTTTGTTGAATAAATATAAATGAATAACAAATAATAATTTGCTATGGAGAAGAATAATGTTCAAAATATTTAGTAACCGGTTGGTAGAGGCACCTGTTGGTCCCACTGAAATTACTATGACTGCTGATGATTTTGTGGTCATTAGCATCTTCCAAGTATCAGCCCAGGTTGTAGATGTGTTTGACTTTCTTATACCAACAGGGAGAAAATACATATACTTTTATCCCTATATGCAGCCAGACTACTTTAGAAAGAATATAGACATAATACATTGGAAAGCGCCTGCATGCATGAACACAGGCCAAGAATCCTGTGTTGTTGACCTATTTATATGCAGAGATAAAAGCCTTCCTATAAAATGTATGTGCTGTTAACATGTTGCCATGCCCTGTCCCAATTACCCAGAGGCAGGTTTCACATTTTCCGGCCAAGTCTTTCTTGTTAAGTAGCATCAGTGAGTTAGGAAAGGGTACTTTCCCACATCTTTAGCACCTGTGGTAAATCTTTATCGCCTTCTCACTTCACATATTTGGCAATAGTAAATAGCTCCCTCCCTCACCTAGCCAAGATGTTGTCTTGGCTCCTTAATCTTTTAAATGCATGGTTGCAGATACTACAAAAGCTGATTATCCCTTTCCTTTCATTCTTGTTTTCTACCACTCCAAACCAGAGTAGGTTTGGTCTATTCTGCTCAACAGAGTGAACTCTCTGAAATGCAGATGTGATCATGGTGCCTCCTGCCCCAAACCATTCAGTTGTTCTGCATCACCGCTAACAGTGTTCTTCAGGTAATTTCAAAAACCGAGCTTTTAAAAAAAAATTCAGGTGCTTTGGCTTTATACACGGAGACTCCAGTTTAGTAGGGGACAGGGTGGTGCCTAGGCATTCTTACAAGTTTCCTCAGGAGATTCTGTCACAGAGCCAGGCTGAGGATCACACGTCTGTAGGATCAAGTCCCAACTTTTATACAGGGAAGAAGACTATTCATGAATGGTTTCTGTCTGTCACTTTCAGTTCACTTGTTAGCTGTGAGATTTTGGCCAAGTTACCCAAATGTCTGAGCCTCAGTACCTCATTTCATTTTTTTAAAGATTTTATTTTATTTATTTATTTGAGAGAGAGAGAGAGAGGATTTATTATTGAGAGAGAGTGGGGAGCCCCATGCGGGACTCGATCCTGAGACTCCAGGATCATGACCTGAGCCGAAGGCAGTCGCTTAGCCAACTGAGCCACCCAGGCGCCCTGTCAGCTACCTCATTCCAAATGGGGATGATAAGGGCACCTGGCCAGCTCAGTCTATGGAACATACGACTCTTAATACTGGAGTCATGAGTTTGAGCCCCACACTGGGGGTAGAGTTTACTTTAAAAACAAAAAAAGAAAAGAAAAGTAGGGATGAGAGTACCAAGGTTGCAGCACTATTCTTAGTATTAAAGATACTATTAGGCCATTTAATTTATCATCCAAACTGAGATGCTATTAATAATTACTCCAGGATACTATACATAAATTTAGATAGTCCCAGGCAACAGAAGCACACGATCAATGTAATTTGAGGTGACATATTCAAAGCATCTCTCACAGTGAATGGCAGATAGCAGAAGTTCAATAAATTATTTTTATCATTCTTCATATATACATTCTCCACCCCCCCACCCCCCTACTCCCCCACCCCCCGCTGAAAGCCCTTGTGTACCGAAGCACAAATGTGATTCATGGAATACTCTAACCATGATTCTGAATATTTGTCTGTCACTGCCCTTCTTCCCCTCTCCCATGTACTGTTCATGGATATTCCCCCCTTTTCTCTCTCTACCACTAGCCCACTATTAGCACTTCCAGAGCCCAGGACATGAGTGAAAAAGATACCCACTTACAATACACTTTTTTAAAATTAAAAGCTGTATATCAAGCTGTTACATATGTATCTCTTATCTTTCTACATTGACAAATATATCTTTATAACAACATGATGGGTCCAAAATTAGACTTCTGGGAAACCTTGGAGTTCCACGCAGGATTGTGGCTGGGGGTGTGCGGATTCTAAACCCGGGCCTGCAGCTGGTTCCTCCTCCTGGCCCATCCCTGGCTCCATCCATACCACACGAGCATCATGTGGATGGATCACGTCCCCTACTTCCATCTCCAAAGCCAGCCCTATAGCGTCTTCTCTCCTCTCTGACTTTCTGCCTCCCCCTCATTAAAAACCCTATGATTCCATTATACCCAACTGGACAATCCAGGATAATCTCCTCACCTCGAGATCCTTAATTTAGTCACATCTGCAAAGTTCCTTTTGCCATATAAGGTAACATTTACAACTTCCAGGGATTAAGATGAGGACAGATTTGGGGACTGTTAGTCAGTCTGTCACAGGGTAGACATGGCAGCAGACCCTTGAGAGAATGAACCCAAAGATGGGAGTCTGAGTTAGAACTGCCACCACACAGTGGGCTACATAAGCAAGGATTATGGGTAGCTGCATGTCTGGTGTTCGGTCTAGACGCAGGGGAGCTGTAGGATCAGGGTGGGCATGTCCCCCTGGGCCCCTGGATCCCCAGCCCTACTCAGCTAGAAGAGGCCTCTCTAGAGCCCAGGACCCAGGGCAGGAGCCAAAGAAAGGTACATTTCTTTTCCTATTGATTTGGCAACCACAGTCCATCTCCCTTTCTCCTCATCTATACACAAGATTCTGTCAGAGGAAAACATGTAAGCAAATTGTTTTACTCTATTAAAAGTTCTTCTTCTTCTTCTTCTTCTTTTTTTTTTTTTTTGCATGCTGCCTTTCACTTGTCATGAAAGAGCCCCATCCCACACCCACTCATTGTTTTTAACCATCCTCACTGGCTTTCCCTTCCTTTGAATCTCTAATTCTGTCCTTCCGCCACCTCTTCAGTGTTCTTAAAATACCCAAGATTTCACCTGTTTGCTGTGTCTTAAAAAATATGCTATCTAGCCAGCAAGTTATTCCTGAATCCTACAAAATTGTCAATTCATTCCTCTTACAATATTTCTCAGTTTTAAAATTTCCTCCTCCACTTGAAGCCTGCAGATTTTCTTTAAAATCAAATTTAAAATGTCTTTTCTTGTTCTACTTGTATACTCTGGATTTTTATATTTGCTGGGTCTTGGCCATTTTAAATAACGTTTCCACACTTATGCAATGCCTATAGAAGAAGTTTTCAAAATAGTTATTTTTCTCCTTTTAAGTTTTTGAAAATCCCTGAAGTCTCATTTGTGTTTTTGCTTATTCTCATTAATCTGTGGAATTTTTAAGGGAATCAACAACATTTAAGACTCTGACATTGTTTTGAGAGAATTATTAGATTTGAGAGTTTATGAATTACTTCATGTTTTGTATTTTGTTCTTCCAAAGCTTTACTTTGTTTTTTTTTTTTTACATGAGGTATTACCTATTGCAAAGGATCTGATAAAAAAAAATTGTCAGTTTAAACTTAATTTTAGGGGCGCATGGTTGGCTCAGTGGGTTAAAACCTCTGCCTTCAGCTCAAGTCATGATCCCAGGGTCCTGGGATGGAGCCCTACATCTGGCTCTCTGCTCAGCGGGGAGCCTGCCTCCCCACCCTCCACCCCACCTGCCTCTCTGCCTACTTGTGATCTCTGTCTGTCAAATAAATTAAAAAAAAAATTAAAAAAAAATAAACTTAATTTTAAACTCAAGTTATATAATTTCAGAGATTTTTTAAAAACTATGACTACACAATATTGTTATAATATTACCATAGTATATGCTTCATGAGGGCAGATGTCTGTCTTATTACTGTTATTCCAGTGATATCCCAGCTACAGTGGTCAGATTTTAGTAAATAACTGAATAAATGAATATAGGAATTAATGAATGATAGAATTTCAGAACAGCCTTAAAAAATAGTTCAGATGTTCAAGATAAACCATCCCACTTTAACTGGAATACTGAAATATAGGTGTTTTGTTTGTTTGTTTGTTTTTTGTTTTGAAACTTTTTCAGTCAGATTTGCAATCACTCCCAGCCATTCTGGAATGAGCAATCAATTTATACGTTTAAAGGTGCTAGCTAAACTGTGTACATATGAGATAATGGTGGTCTGTTTACATAGTTTATGAATTAATAAATACAGATGATATTACATAAATATTTTATAAATATACTACATATAGTGAGAAGTTGATTATGTTATAGGATTATATTAGGATACTAGATATTTTTAGCTTTAACAGTGTTATGTGATGGGAATGTAAATCTCCGGAGCTGAAATGAAGACAGGAAGTGAGGGCAATAGGCTTCCATGTCACTTTGAACTCATTCTTTGAGGAACTGTGTGTGGGAATTGGTTCTACTCTGATTGCAGTTAGTTTTATAATAGTAAATATATGTATACTTTATTGTGGAGATAGGTTATATGTTTCATCATTTCAAAAGTTTACTCCACAGTATTCTTTTTCCTTGTCTGGTGGTATTCTTCCCCAGTTTAAACTTTACAAATGGTTAAAGATGTCTTTTTTATTGTTTGTCCTCAGAATGGCTTCACTCCTTTATACATGGCTGCCCAGGAGAACCACATTGATGTTGTAAAATATCTGCTTGAAAATGGAGCTAATCAGAGCACTGCTACTGAGGTGAGACTGTCAACCCTACAGGTTCAAATTCTCTGATCTCAGTGTCCACGTCCTTTATATCCACCTGCAAAGGATCTCCATTATTTTGTCTAAATGATGCTAGGAATGTTCGCGTTGCTTTTGTCAGCTACAACAGTGGCCGTGGGTGAATGACCCAGCACACACCAATGAATGAGTTTATGTCTTTATTTGGGATTCATGTCGATTTGCTTTTCCATGAGCCCATGTTTACATCCATTTGCCATTCTCTGGGTTTGGGGAGCTTGTATATTATTCTAAAATTCGATGACAGTAAATTCTATGCATCTCTTTTCATCGGTATTTTATCTGTTAGGATCCAATTCAGTTCTTTAAAGGAATAATTTTTAATGATCAGAAATGATTCATGGGTATTTGTGTGAGCACGATTTTATGTGGAGTATGTCACGAAAAAAAGTTCGCATTTTTCTGAAGCACAAATTATGGCACGTCATTGTGTGACTGTGATCACAGCAACAACGAAATAGAACGTTCAAAGTCAATTCAGTATCAACATATTCAGGATGTCTAGACATAAGAAGGAGTTACAACGGGCCAACTTAGAACATCACTTTCCTTTATCTATGCATGTCCTCCAGTAAACAGAACTTGCTTTGTTATTTTCCTTCCCATTTTTTTGTGTTGGCAGATTAAGGAGCAAGTTCAGTGGTTGCTTAGAACAGTGATTTTTTAGTGACGCTCCAGAAACCCTTGAATTTGAAGAAATTGCCTCAAGGGGCCACCCAGAAGGCTGGAAATGGGTGACACAGAAGAGCAGGGAAGAGAGTTCCACTGGGCCATGCCTCTCCTCACCCCTTTCAGCCAGATCATGCAGGCTTTGATTTTCCTTTTCCACATCTGTGCCACCACTGATAAAACTTTAAAACTCCTGACCTGAAGTGAAAGATGACTGATAGACACTTGTCACCCAGAAACTAACTTGATAATTATTAATGTCTAATATGACTTCCTTTCTGAACAATTAAGCCTTTCGGTGAAATAAACATGGATTCCCTCCTACCTTGCTGTCTGGGAAGAAATCATTGTAATCTATTTCCAGTCCCTCTGGCAGGAAACTTTTTATGGAGCCAATGGCAATAACTTTCTGACAGCTTATTCTCATTAGTTAAAGACAAAATTCCAAGTAATCACTATTAATGGGACCATGTTTCTTTTTTGCTTGTGTTTGGAAAACACAACTACCCAATGTAAAATGACTTCAAGTTCTCTATTTAGCACATACAGATTTTATACTCTTACACATGGTACAGTGTGATTTTTATGTTCAGGGCCATTATTTCCCCCCCTAAAACCCTAATTATGTCAATGAATAACATGTGAATATCTTCAGGCAAAGTTTGAGTAACTGTATGAGACTTTCTCTCTGTATCAGGACCACAGAGAAATGTACCAAAATAAGGAAATCTGTGTTTATTTTATTTTATTGAATGCAGAATCACTTACCCAGAGGAACCTTGACACTATAGAGTTCATCTGTTCACCATATAGCCTTATTATTTCCAGCATATGGTTTGGGGAAATTCAGCTTGCTGGTATTCTTAGCTATCTCAAGGCTCCTTGGGTCTAGACCTCTGGAGCATTTTAGTCTGGTTCCAAAAATAGCCTTTTATGTACATTTCATCAGAGGAGGCCATGTTACATTGTGATTCGCAGAAAACTAAAACCCTCTCTGATTTCTACACAAAAATGCTGCTTTTGCAAGTGAATCATATGAGGTTTTGAATCCTACCTTAGACATGTGTATGCCTGGTTTAGTTTCATTTTTTAATATTTAAATAATGACATATATAAGCTAAGTTGATTAGTCCCCCCTGCTGACTATTATCAAGAAACTATTATCAAGAAACATACATATACATAAACTTCTCCACATTCCCTTTTAGTCTGTCATTCTGTAGAAAACTACTATCCTTATGGAGCTTTATGGCTGATTACGTTTTCATATTTTGTTGTATTGCCGAACACCTTCTACAGACGCATTTTCACATGTGTGAATATGCCTAAAGAAGACATTTACTCTAACCTGTTAGTAGACCTAATTTGTAAAAATTAATACTAATCAAGACACTGTGACCACTTGAAAAATCAGATAATTATGAATTATTCAATATGGCAATGAAACCTATGTTTGAAAATAACTATTTAAATGTTTGAAGTTTCCTGTAATTGTAGCAATCAGCATTGGTAAATAAATGATGAAGAATGAAGCTACTGAATTTTAATATGGTTTTCTTTTTCATAGAGTTAGTTGAGGTACTTGAGATATTTACCCATTTCAGATATTTACCCTTCCCCCATGAAGTATGGATTAGAATGAAATCATAGTGGTGGACATCCAAAGTTAAGTTCTCTGAGGGGAATCCTCCAATACCATTTTTATAAATGTTTGCTAGCCTCCTTCTTCCTGAGTGTTACCAAAATTGAAGGCTAAAAACTTTTTAATTAGGTTCTGTACTGTCAGCAAATGCATCGTCTCTAAGAAAAAGCAAATTTCACGCTCTTTTTACATAAACTATCACAGTGTTAGAGTGGATAATCAAATATGTATATGATGATATCTTTCCTCCTTCACAGAGTGCTTAATTTGTGCCAAACAAAGTTCTAAATTTAGGCTACTAGTATTACAACACTACATGGTTTACTCTTCCATTCTGTTATGTGATGTGTTTATTTATAATTCAATTCTTATTAAAATAAATTCAAGTCTTTTTGTGGTAGTGCAATAGGAAATCATTTTACCTCAAAAATCTAGTTTTGAAAGATTATTGTTGGAAACAAATCGAGTGGTTAGATTATGATAAATTGCTGTTATCCCTAAAATGCAATCATTAATGTACAATCCTATTACCCTCATCTCTTCTATGAATGGAAACTTCTGAGACTTGTTTTCAAGCTTTTGTGGAGTAAGGGAGGTTTTAACAAAAACAGAGCCTAGCCTATATATACATTTTTCTCTTTATTTACCACCTTTCCATTAACTGAATACTTGTTTCTAGAGAGAAAACATGGCTCCCAACTTTTTTAGTATGGTTATCCATCTATTCCTAAAACTCTTATAACTTTGATTATCTGTGCTATTGTTTTTGTTTTTAATTGTTTTCCAAGTTTAGAATTAAAAATCTGTTTTTTTAACCTAGCACATATAATTTTATATCTAAATTATCTAAATAATATAAAATTCAACTAAATGCAAAATTAATGAATTAGCCTTACTTACCAAAAGGTTTTAGATTACATTATATCCCAAAGTTGTCAGATTAATTGGCAATAGACCATTCCATTGATAGTTATTGTTCTTCCCAATCAATATAGAGATATTTAGTAACTTGCATAGTTTATCACATAATTTATTTCCCTGTCTTGGCTACCATATCTTTGATTGTCAATCAGACTTGTTCTCCATTATCTCTACCCTTTCCATCCTTTCCTTTCTATAAGGTGGTCTTACTTAAGGTTGTTCTAATTTTTATTTTCCCATTCTAAACATACATTTAAGCACATCTTATGCACAGTATGCTTTGTGAGGGAATGCAGATGTTTTTCAAGATATGTAGAATAGAAACTAAGAAAACAATTTGATGAAGCCAGTCCATAGTGTGGTGAATGACTGATTGTCAGTTGCTTTAATCTTTTTAAAATCAGTTTCAGGGGTAGAATGTAGTGATTCATCAGTTGCATGTAACACCCAGCACTCATTACATCAAGTGCCCTCCTTAATACCCATCACCCAGTTATCCCATCTCCCCCCCACCTCTCCTCCAGCAACCCTAGTTTGTTTCCTAGGATTGTCTCCCTCCCTATTTTCATCTTACTTTATTTTTCCTTCCCTTTCCCTATGTTCATCTGTTTTGTTTCTTAAATTCCACATCTGAGTGAAATCATATGGTATTTGTCTTTCTCTGATTGAGTTATTTCCCTTAGCATAATACCCTCTAGTTCCATCCATATCATTGCAAATGGCAAGATTTTATTCTTTTTGATGGCTGAGTGATATTCCATGGTGTGGGTGTGTACATAGTGTACATACCACCTTTTCTTTATCTATTCATCTGTCAATGGATCTCTGAGCTCTTTCCATATTTCGACTATTGTGGACATTGCTGCTATAAACTTTGGGGTGCATGTTCCCCTTCGAATCACTAGGTTTGTATCCTTTGGATAAATGCCTCATAGTGCAATTGCTAGGTCATAGGGTAGTTCTGTTTTTAACTTTTTGAGGAACCTCCATGCTGTTTCCAGAGTAGCTGCTTCAGTTTGCATTCCCACCAGCAGTGTAAGAGGGTTCCCCTTTCTCTGTATCCTTGCCAATGTCTGTTGTTTTCCTGAGTTGTTAATTTTAGCCATGCTTTAATCTACACGGTAGTATTTCATCCTTTTGCATTTCTTCTCTATCTTAATTATTATTTTAAACATTAGAGGCATTGCTGAGAGTTGAATCTCATGCTTCCAAAAGTGAATGGAAAATTTTTTCTTCTTCCATTTTACTAGGATGGCTTCACGCCACTCGCGGTGGCGCTCCAGCAAGGACACAACCAGGCAGTGGCCATCCTCTTAGAGAATGATACCAAAGGGAAAGTGAGGCTGCCAGCTCTGCATATTGCAGCTAGGAAAGATGACACCAAATCCGCTGCCCTCCTGCTGCAGAACGATCACAACGCTGACGTACAATCCAAGGTAAAAGCTGAACGCATTTGTGGAAAGGACCTCTTCAGCTGCCAGGTTCCTCCTGGGGAATGATAAAGAAGTAGGCCATGGTGATAATGCAAAATTACTTCCGGTTATCGAAAGAGATAAATTACTTCCAGAGGTATTTCAAAAAGAAGGGGGCTGTCTATTGGGTAGAGTAACAAGAAGAATTTTTAAGATAATTTTCTTTTAAAATGAGGTTCAGCTTTTTTAGAAATCTGCTTATTTATTCTCTTTGTAATCAAAAATAATAGAAGCGGAATTTTAGAGCGATAACATTGTTTTGTGTAGTGTTATGGATGTCTTTTCTCAGGAGGATATATTTTGGCATGTTGAAACAATGTATCCAACTGCAGCGAGTGGATTGACTGTTTCCTTAATTTTGCTCTGTGTAATATCTTCCCTCTTTTTCCCACACAACACTGCTTCAGATGATGGTGAATAGGACAACTGAGGTACAGTATTACGGTTATACCAAAATATATCTTGATTTTATTGATTTTAGTTTTTTGCCCAATTGGGATAAATGCTCACTAATTCATACTAATGATTGGAATTTCCATTAGTAGGAAATTAATTTAAAAACTTTTCTCATAATTAAGGGAAATGAATAATTCAAAAAATTTAATGTGACATATATCAGAAGCTATTTTATCAGTGTAGCTATTTAAGTAGCTTATTAGAATAGAGCATAAAATGAAACTCTCCTTAATATGTGTTTTCTGAGTGAGCTTTATTATTAAATACTATTTTGCCAGTAAGAAATATGACCCTCTCTTAATGAGATTTCTCAGGCTAGAGTTTAGCAAAGTGAAATTTAAGGAGGTTTCTTTGCTACTGTTTTATTCTTTAATCTCCTTACAGTTGCCTTTTTTCCCATATTTTTTTAACCACTTTGTATATAATCAATAGTGATAATTGAGAGTATCATGATCAGAACATTTGCTTTTATCTCTCTAAGTCTTAACAATACTTGATATGAAATCATCTATTTTCCACATACCAGAGTAAGTCACATCGATCACCAGGAACATTCAGTGCAGAAGCTTCTCTGTATTGTGTGTGTGTGTGTGTGTGTGTGTGTGTGTGTGTGTGTGTGTGTGTTTAGCAGCCTCTCCTTGACCATTGCCAAAAGAGGCACTAACACAAACATTGTTGAAAGCATATTGTAGAAATAAACCTGTATTCAAAGACAAGTGACTGTGTAGGTTGATTTTCACTTTTTTGAGGGGACTCTTTTAGACTAACATCTTATGATCACTGGACTGTGGACCTGGAGAGGTTTTGAGCATTCATTTAACTTTTATTGAGAGTAGTGTATTTCTAGAACTAATACCTTGTTTATTAAAAAATTTACCTATTGATAAGATGTGAATATATGTGATATAGGTGCGAATACTTGAGTTAGTCATATTATTTCTTCTGTCCCATATCTGTGCATGGAACTTAGGACATAGATTAAAAAAAAAAAAAAGCCCAATTGCTTGGTGAAATTGCTCAAGACTGGAATCATATAAATTGACATCTTAATTACTGATTTTAATACCTTTAATTTTTAGGTGATTTTGGTGATCGTTTAAGAGGTATTTTTGACAGCAATTTTGGCTCTAAATATTGTGTTGAAAGCAGCAGTTTGGGGAGATTTGTACTGAGTTAGAAATATTTCTTTAAGGACAATAGAGTAACAAAGAGGGGAACCCTTCCACTGATACCCCTGTAGAAAGGTGAACTGAGCTTCCTACCTTCATGGTAATCAGGCAAGAGTTCTTCAGGGAGGCTTATACAAGCTTTGTGTTGGTTGGTCAAAAGTCAGAGTCTGAGGCATCATCACAGATGGCTGACAAGGCTGTGTCACACAATAAATTGGTTTATTTTTGCAAATAAGAAAAATAATTTGAAAATGATTCACTAGCAATCACTGTGTTGTCCCCCCCCTCCCCTGGAATTAAATTGTAACTTAAAAGATAGACTTACATTCAGCATATGTCTGGATGACAGGAAATATCAAGATAAAAATGAAAAACTTCTAGTCAATTACTTCTTAAAATACAAAAATTTGACATTTTATAAAATAACAGTCTGGTTGTAAGCTGATTTTTCCCTCCATTTTGACATGAATATTTGGTATCACATAGACACAAAACTATCTTTACCACAAGTGTGGGATTTTGACTGATAGTTACTATTCTTATTTTGTGTCTTGGTTCTCTATAGTCAGATATTATTTGCAGCTAATTCGGCTGATAGCACAGAGGATTTTCTATTACCTAAGATATCTGAATGCTTATTTAGGACATTTGAAAAGCAAAGTCACCGAAAACTGTTTATCAAATGAATAGGGAAATAATGGTTGTGATTTAGATAATATTTCTTAAAAACAGTGTATGTAAATCAAAGTTCATTTCAAATGAGAGGTACTGATACAAAATAACTTCAGAACTGCATGGTTTGAGATCCAGTTCTGTAACAATAGTCTTTATTAACAATATCCTATCATCTTTTATTGAGTAAAAAAATGATGAAATTATGGAGAGCGGGGAGAATACATGTTTGCATACTTTAATAATAAAAAGAGTTAATATACATCTATTGTGAAAATGGCAACAATTTCTAACTAAATTTCATCAGAAAAAGAAATGAAAGGAAGTATACTTTTCTTCCATGAAGATTTTCAGACTAATTTTTTAAACATTCTGAGAGTAAACAGTTCTCTAATGGCTATGTAATTGATTTAACCTGCTTATTTTATTTCATAACAGTCTTGTTAAAATTTGTTTTAATTAACATTCAAAATTGAGTTTGGCTGACTTTTTTTCTTTATTTGATATTTACATTGATGCCAGGTATATTGTTTAGTTTTCGTTTTTAAACTTTTTTTCATTGTAACAACCTCTTCTCACTAAGCACAGTTGTTAAAGAAGACAGAAGTATGACGGTGTAAATGATGTGGAACAAATAGTGTATCCTCTGTAAGAGTTTCTCACATTTTCATAGCTCCAAAGGCACAATGCCAACTAATGCTGTTTGTTGTTGTTGTTGTTGTTGTTGCTTTTATTAAAAAAAACCCTGAGCAAAACAAAACAATAGTTTTGAGTCTTTCTCTGGAGAAAATTCTTTTACTCACAATTACTTTAATCCAATGGCTGAAACTTTATTGTTTAATCATATTCTGTTTTTCTCTAAAGTTAAACCAACCCAAGAAACATGGTTTTGTATAAACAATAAATCTTGTAAGCAGATAAATCATTAAGCTAATTAGAGATAATGTTGCCAAGAAATGCAGGGTATTTATTTACCTGCTTATTTAGTTAGTTATTTACTACCTCATTGCACTAAAATTTGAAGAGCCTTATTAAAGCATTTATTATCTGGTATTGCTCACATACTAGGTAAACAACTACCATGTGATTTTCTTCACTAATCCAGGGACTGTGACATATGGAGGTGAAATGCTTTAGTGACTGTCGTTTTCTTTGCTTTCCATAGAGTGGTTTTACCCCTTTGCACATTGCCGCCCACTACGGAAATGTCAACGTGGCAACTCTTCTTCTAAATCGGGGAGCTGCTGTGGACTTTACAGCTAGGGTATGGATTAAAATAACTTCTCATTTTAGATAGCAGTGAATGGACATTATACTAAAGTAAAAATGGAAAATAGTAATAGCTTGTTTCTTTTTCCTTGTCTGGATCTGTGCTGGATTTATTAGATTTTTCAGTTTTTTTTTTCTTTGAATCACATGAAGTCATCATGACCAAATAAGTGAAAATTAAGAATGTATCAGTTCACACATACATGCTCTCATTTTTCTCATATTTTGATCAGGATTACATTGAATATATAGATTGCTTTGGGTAGCATAGACATTTTATAATATTTGTTCCGTTCAGCCTCTCCATGTCTTCTATTCTTTTTAGATTTTATTTATTTATTTCACAGAGATCACAAGTAGGCAGAGAGGCAGGCGGGGAACAGACTCCCTGCTGAGCAGAGAGCCCAATGCGGGGCTCCATTCCAGGACCCTGGGATCACCACCTGAGCTGAAGGCGGAGGCTTTAACCCACTGAGCCGCCTGGGGTGCCCTTCACTCCATGTCTTCTGTTTGGGAATTTTAATCCATTTACATTTAGTTATTGATAAAAAGGATTTAATATTGCCCTTTTGTTAATTGTTTTCTACTTGTCTTGTAGCTCTTTTTCTCTTTTTTCCTCTCTTGCTATCTTCCTTTATGATTTGTTGACTTTTGGTATTATTATACTTTGATACGTTTTTCTTTTATTTTGTGTAACTTGTATAGTTTTTTTTTTTCCATGTGTGTGGTTATCTTGGGGCTTACATACAAATTTTATAGTTTTAACATTTTATTTTAAGCTGGAAACAATTTCAATTGCATTTAAAAAGTTTAATTTCCTTCTCCCACTTTATGTTACCACAGTTGACATCTTTTCATATTGTATGTTTTAATATATTTTTAATTTGGTTATTTTTAATACTTTTTGACATGTTATACTAAAATTAAAAGTGATTCACCTACTTAAAAAGTGATGTGGAATAAATAGCATATTTATTTGTGGCAGTTAAGGAGGATATTTATGCTGACATCAGTGTGAGTAGTTATATTTAAAGATCACTCCATGAATCATGAATGAGCAACTCAAGTGAATCAATCATTAAACTGTTAGAACGTTAAGTATCAAATGTATAAATACATTTATACAGTGTTTTAATGATTATGGGGCACATAATTTGGCCAAAAAATGTTTTTAGTGAATTGAGAGTTCACTCATGTAGTCTTACCAATATACATAACAAGACATCATGTTGCATTATATGTTTAATGGTAAGCTTTCACTGGAAAGAATTCACTTACATGATAATTACAAAACACTGTACTTAATATAAATCAGTAAATGCAATATTTGAATATTTGTAAAATTTTGATATGCAAAAAGTCAGGTACATATTCTTGCCATAATGATGACAGAGGGTAGCTCATAAAGTAAACAACTATAATTCATATATATATGGTGTTTTGTCCTGAGAAGGCTTCTGTACTGAAACTATGTTGAGCTATTTTCAAGTTGTTTTTCATACTGAATTATTCTGAAGAAGGTGTTTTTAAGAATCATTTTTCCAATGGTTATTGAATATGTATATTTATATTCTATTTTGAAGCAAAGGAAACTTGAAGATCCTGGAATCTTTCAGGGCCTGGATACTGTAACAAAAAAGATATAGACTTTGACTAGGGCTCTGTCCTAAGTAGAATTTGACACTTTTTTCTTGTCAAAGCACTCCCTTTGTCTCTTGACAATGTGTACAGAGTAATGTGTATATTCGATACATATGTTATAGTCACGGACTAACTTAGTTATGTAGTTTCATTCCATTTTTCATCCTCTAACTATAGTGCTCTGTGGTTTGTGTGCTTTTTTGTCCCTTAAAAATCAAAGACATTGAAACTTTAGTAACCTCGAATCAAATTACAACATGGGTCTCAGCCTTACTTTGCACCCACTAACACAGTCTTCACAACATCATGCCCTGTCATACCCAACATGCTCTTGTTTGGTCTTTCCATGGTGTAGAATGGAATCACTCCTCTGCATGTGGCTTCCAAAAGGGGAAACACAAACATGGTGAAGCTCTTACTGGATCGTGGTGGTCAGATCGATGCCAAAACTAGGGTGAGTGTCTCTGTTCTTTCAATTTCCTACCATTTTTGTTCTTTGTATTCTTTATGCAGGCACCTTAAAATACCAGTCCTGAAATATAAGCAATGTGTTTTCAAGGAAATTGCTTCTTGGATTCGATTTAAATCTCATACAATATTTAAAGGTTTCTCATTGTCAAGTGGAATTAATATTTGCTCAAAAGTGCTGGGGAAACAGAATGCTAGGCCCTCAATGAGACAGTTTTTCAAGTCCTTGGTTATTTTGGGTAACAAAGATGAAGAATTGAACTGAAGTTTCTCTGATTATTAGCTTTACATTTCTAAAACCCAAACACATAAGCCTACGTTATGCTGTGAGGGTGTGACTTTTACATAAAATACGTGGATACATGTTGATAATCTTTTGCTTCTAATTTTCCAATTTTTAAATCATTTTTCTTAAGTGATTATCCTATACTGACCTGAGCAGGAGATCTGCTGTATGCTTACGGAACAAAGGCATCTGGTTATTTTTTCCTTTAATTTTATTTATTTAGAGAGAATGAGAGAAAGAGAGAGCATGAGAGGGGGGAGGGTCAAAGGGAGAAGCAGACGCCCTGACAAGCAGGGAGTCCAATGTGGGACTTGATCCCAGGACTCCAGGATCATGACCTGAGCCGAAGGCAGTCACCCAACCAGCTGAGCCACCCAGGCACCCAAGGCAGATGTCTGGTTATTATGTTGCATCTTTACTCATTCCAGTTTGATAAGAGGCAGGGCCCTTCATTCATTTCAGATTTGTCAAGAAGAATACAAATCTAAGTTTTATATACTGCCAATAAATAGATGATAAGATAGGCTGGAGAAGATCATTGTTCAGAGTTTGGCCTCTGAAGGCAGATTACCTGATTTCAATTTACTTCTACTACTTACTAGATATAGGATATTGGCAGTTTACTTATTACCTCCTTTGAACATAGGCTGATATTGGTACCTATCTCATATGGTTGTATGAAGATTAACTCTTAGATATTATTATTTATCTTTTTGAAAGCGGGGTGGGTCAATAACTTAGCTCTTCATAATTTTTTATTATGTTAATGACATTATATGTAGTTACTTCCTTAAACATTAAATTAGTACTTCAGTATTAGTTCCCTGGAATAGATTTGGTTAATTATAGACTTCAGCGAAACTTTAAACATTCTTATAATGTGAACAGTTTGAAGTATATGGTGTGAGAAGTCTGTAAAAGATAGTGATGGGATATGTCCCTTATGATATTTTATCTTCACTGTTTAATCCTGGGACTTTATATTCTCATAGTCACAAGGCTAAGCATCAAATCTAGTTCCTTTGCAAATCTTAAGGATAGTGAGTGTTTTTATTTAATAAGCTTTATCATCTTTGAGCTTCTGGGGACTACACCAGTCCCAGACTATAAATTCTTTTCTTTTCTTTTTTTTTTTTTTTTTAAGATTTTATTTATTTGAGAGTGAGAGGGCATGTGCACATGCACACAAGTGTGGGGAGGGGTGGAAGGGGAGGGAGAGAATCTCAAGCAGACTCCTTGCTGAGAGCCAAGCCAGTCCCCAGGGCTGGATCCTAGGACCCTGAGATCATAACCTCATCCAAAATCAAGAGTTAGACACCTAACCAATTGTGCCACCCATGCGCCCCTATAAATTCTGTTTTTTAATGACCTCAGGAAACGTTGTTTTCTTAATCTTACTTCTCTAAGACGTTTGGTCCAGAACATCTATGACATATTATCATGTGGGAGCTCTAGAGTGGTTTGCTTTGTCTCTCAAGATCATTGTTGTACTGTCTGCTGTCTTTGCATCAGAGTTTTATATGATTTCTACCCTTTGCTTTGTTGGCATGCCTTTTCCCTTGCTGTGCTATAGGTATGCAGAATTGGAACAATTATGCACAATGCTTCATGTTCTGCCTCCTCGTTCTTCATGCTTAAAGGAAAGAGTTTCTTTGCTTCCTCTTTTAAGTTTATTACTAACGTAATGTCTCCCTTACCTATTTCTATTGAGACTCTCTAATAATTGAGAGTACCAGTGTAAAGAAAGCACTTAGTAAATGCAACAGAATTTTATCTTGGCCAGTGTCTTAAGGCTCCACATTATTCTTATTAATATTTTTCTGGTATATTCATTCATTTTTGAGGCAATTGATTTTATTTTTTTTATCATTGCGGTAGGTACTTAGTTCTGTAAAATATGTTTTAATTTGCATGGCCTACAAACATTTGCATATGTAATTTAAGTCTAACTCCAAATAGGCAGTGCATTTTCATAAAAAGAATACTAAGGAAGTCTTATGCTAGTTCTGCCATTAAATAATTGTCCTTACGCAAGTTAATCAAATGTAAGCCTTGGTTCCTTCTGTGAAGAGAATATTTGGGCTGTATTTCATCCAGTGTAGCCTTTAGATATACAAATAAATTGTATTTCATTCAAGAATTTATAAAGCAAAAATAGGTTTTATAATTGTATACATCGTGTGTACATTCTGTTCATTCATTCCTTAAATGTAAGTTAAAGTACTTCCTTATCTCTTAAGGAGTAGGATTTTAAAAGCAGTTGGATTCTTTTAATTCTGTTTGTAACTAAAATACAAGTATAATACTTTATTATTAACTATTTGTAATTAAAATACAAGTATAATACTTTATTATTAACTATTTATAACTAAAATACAAGTATAATACTTTATTATTAAAACAGGAATCTGGTTAGCTTTTTCTTTTGTCTTTTGAAAATAGATTTTAAAATAGAAAAATTTTACATTTACTTTTTGACTATCTTTTTAGGTAGTACAATAGAGCTTCTATATAAGGAATTAAAAATAATATTTTTCTTTCTTTTTTTTTATAATAGGGGTCTCAATTTACCTTAGCAATCCATATTAGTCATAAACATTCTGAATCTAGTATGTTATATCAAGAATTTTCCACTTGATCTTCTCATTATTTTTCTCAGTTATAAGGTTTTCATTATCTGGAGAAAAGCAAGATATGTAGAGGATTAGGGGTAATTAAAAAAAATCTTACCCACTGTTTCTTCCCCACTTCTGCCAGCACTTTGTCAATCACTGAGAGACATTTTGCATCTAGTTGACATTCTCACCACTGACTAGGATCTGGTGTGAAACAGACATTTTCACCAGAGCTCTGGTTTTCTGGTGTTTGAAAAACCTCATTTAAATGTTAAAACAGAAACTTCATAGCTAGTTAAAAATGATATTATTAATCCAATTTTTATTAAGAGCATTATTCTTTTTTATTTTTAATCTTATATATTATTTAAATGTGGAGATACTCCATATAAGGTTAAAATATTGAAATACATGTTGTAGTGCAAACAATACAAGTATACAAAAACATTAAAAGATGATGAACAAAAAACCAATATATCAGGAAAAAGAATCACAATAATTAAAGCAACAGTAGTGGCTACCAATTGTCATCGCACGTGATGTTCTAGGCACCCTGCTAAATATTCTACAAATATCATTTTATTTCCTCTTCCTACCAGTTTACAAAGGTTGTGTTAACTGCTTGTTAGGAAAATATGGAGGTCTTCATTTGGAAAATGAGACTGCCAAAGGGAAAAATGATTTTCAGAGGACTTATGTCACTTGACCTAGGATACACAGGGTAGTCATTAGCAGAGCCTGTGTTAATACACAGACTTCAGGATACATCTACAATTAAACAGAGACAGAGGAAGGAAAAAGATAAGGAAAGAAATGGTTGTAAAAAGCTCAGGCGGTGGATTAGCAGCTGGAAAAGTGGCACCCCTCTACTGTTGACTGATCTAGCCTTTTAAGGATTATCAGCATCATAGTGTGATCTGAACTGATTCTAGTGAGGGGCAAAAAAAGAAGGAAAGAAAACAAGAAAAAGGATTCCTGGGGGAAGTAGCCTTCAAATATAGTCTGAAGAATTTAAGTTAAAGATATTGAACAAATCAACATTCCTAAGAGTTAATTTAAAGAATTAAGTAAAAAAGTCCTTGAATACAAAATTTTGATAAGATTTTTTTTGGCAATAATGAGATAGTGTAGTTATAGAAAATATCTAAGATCTGTTTACACTGAGCATGTTGGGAGAATTGAATTTGATATAATGTCCATATCCTTTATAAGCGAGATAAATTACATCAGATTTAGAATCAATGTAATCCTTATTACTCTTTGATGTTCTTATGAATTTATTAAGTGTTCTCCATATTTACCTATTGTTACTCTGTGCCGGGAATGGCCAGCAATCTCTGTACCAACAGATGAAAGGATTACTACAAACTTTACTGTGAAAGAGAGGAGAAGGCAAGGGGATCAGCATTCCGAGAGGAACACACTTTGTTCTTCTTTGCTCTGGCTTTTGTTGGTCGTTCAGGATAATCACAAACCCTTACCTTGTTTCTCAAGCAAGTGATGTGGGTCTTATTGAAACTGGAAGGATCTGTTTATGGGAGAGATAAGATATGCTTATCTGCTTGGTCTATGAATTCTGCTAACCTCAGCCTAAAGGACAATGCATACATATCTCTTAGAACACAGGGTGGCTGTTTGGGCTCGGAAAGCTTCTGGAAGGCAACTCCCAGGGGCATTCCAACAGCAGAGTGGTAACACAGGCCTCAGCATTCCAAAGGCCCACACCCTTCTCTGAAAGCTTCCCTTGCCCCCAGCAGCGTGATCGTTGTACGTGTTACATTTTAGCAAACCAGGTATTATGGCTGATTTCATGCTCTACATTAACCCAACAATTGAGTATTTAAAGTTTTCAACATGATTACACAATGCATCTTTCATGTTTTCTGTAGAAAACAATCCCTTTTCTGAAGATGGTTTAAGGCAGAGTCCCTCATTCAAAAGAGGTCACAAGTTAAATGGGATAAAGGAAATTACCCCATTTTATATGCTGTGAAGCCGAGCCTCAGAAAGAATCCTCCTTGGTGGCTGACCTGAGACTCACACCTGAGTCTCTATGATTCCAGAGCCCAGATGTCGGACCACTGCATATAATGCCTTCATTCACGTTGTTGGATTTCTCAAACTCTAGTTCTCCATGAGGCCCCCTCCAAGAATCTGGTTGAGAAGTCAAGCTATCTCTAATAGTTATATAACTTAAATAGCAGCTAATGCACTGTACTTCCACCACAAGGTACGTTATGGAGATACAAAAGCATAATCATCTTAACCACTTTGCCTGAACAATTTCTTTTTTTAGGCTTCTTTCTGGTGAACTTTAAAATAACTCGGCATCCCGACTACAGTAGTTAATTCCCACCCCCCACCCCGAAAGGCAGTCTTTTCATGCTAATTCTTACATATCCAAAATTGCAAGGTCTCTGTTGGATATTCGGTATCTTAATACTAGCTAAGTAGATTTAACAAAGCAAAGTATCATTCGAACTCAAGGTCCTAGCCAAAAACAGAAAGCACCTTCACGTTTGATCATTTGAATATAGATTGTTAAGGGATCTATTTCTAACATTGTAGGTAGACTGTAGGGAAGGCATGAGGGGTAGTATAGACTTCCAGGAGCTAGGAATAGAAGAGCTCATGACCAATCCCAACACAGCAAGGTGAGAGTTGATGTACCAAGACTTCAAAGGAGAGAATTGGATGGCCAAGGCTGTTTTTGGCTTGAGTGTAACCTTTGGTGAAGAGACACAGCCAGATGAGATCTTTTACAGAATGGCTGTCTTGCTGTGTTCCCCATACCCAGCCAGAAGCCAGAGGGCAAGGTAGCCCCCTACTACAACCGAGAGTGCTTTATCTGTCAGACATGGAGCAGAGGAGAGAAAGGTAGAGAATGGATCTGGAGGGTAAAGGGACAATATCTAGCATAGAAATTCCAGAATGTTGGGACAGGAAGAGAGTTGTAACCCAGATAAATTGTATTTACTAGGAGGAAAGCATAACCCAGAGCGATGGTCCTGGAAACAGAGACAAAAGATAGGCTCTTTGAGTTCTGGATAAATCAGAAGCTTTTGAAGTCCTCTTAACTACTCACGACCCCTCATTTTCTTTGACTGTTACCTACCTTTTCAATATCCCTCCTTAGGACAACCTTTTTCTCCCTTAAGCTTGAAATCTTCAGCTAATTTCTGTACTCAGGATTTCATTTTCTCTCTCACTTCTTGCCCATTCTTACAACCTACCCACTCTCCTTTCTGGCCATGCCACCCTAAAGAGAAATAAAATCCAAAAGACAGAAGGAATTTGAGGATTGCTCTGGAATCAGAAACTACCTGAGAAGTATCAAGTTCAGAAAGTTGTATAAATAACAACATAGAGTTGGGCCATAATTTTGTTTGACTCCATTTTAATGCTATTATTGTTAATAATCAATTTCATCTCTAAGAAATAATTGTGTAATTTGGGTTGAAAAATTTGTATGGAAACCTTTAGAAGAATGTGAAAAAAAATGTCTATGAGCCACAGGGGGTGTTTTAGGAGGATTTATAAAAATAGTGACAATTCAAGAGATCAAAGATGGACAAATCAGATTAAGAAGAATTTGGGGGTAAAGGTTCTGTTAGGACAACCAAAATGAAGATAATTTAGTGATACCATCTCAGCCTTGTGGTTCCAAGCAAGTAGGGCTTTGAAGTTCAACAATTGCTGCAAACTCCACTTTTGCATCTTCCTGAATATGAAAACACAGGACCAGCAGCGTGTTGTTTCACATTGAACCTCGGCATGTGAGATCTCTCTTGCCCTCTCCCTCTCCATTTCTTCCCTATCTTTCTTTTTCTCTCTAGCCCTCTGTTGAGATCTCTCACTGTTTTGTTTTCTCTCTCTTCTCTATCATTTAACCAATAGCAATTCCATTACAGATCTGTTGAGGCAGTAGGAATGAGTTCAGGAAACCTTCTCTTTGCAGTGGCAAAAAAGACAATCTTGACTTTTTTTTTTTTTTTTTTTATGTTAACTCCAGATTAATTCTTTAATTCTTTTGGCAGGATGGTTTGACACCCCTTCACTGTGCTGCAAGGAGTGGGCATGACCAAGTGGTAGAGCTTCTGCTGGAACGGGGTGCTCCCTTGCTGGCAAGGACTAAGGTGGGTCATTAGGAGTAAGATGGGATCTAAGAAACTCTTTAAACCACTCTTCTGAAAATCTCTGTTCTTCTTAAAATCAAAGCATCAGGCCAACGTTTTCTAGTTACTCAATAATTGTGTGCTAGGAATGAGGAATATATATCAAACTGTTTGAAAATTATTTAAAATTAAGAAATACATGCATTAAGATGTATTGAGTGTATACCTTCAGGTGCTTCCTATGTTTTTATCTGCTACTCTTCCTACATTTGGTGGACATTTGAATATATTCTATGTAGATGAGTAATGTAAATGAGCATGTTGTATATAAATGAGAATATTTCCTATGTTCTATAGGTTTACTTTTATGATTCTCTAAGATGCTGTAAAATACATATAAAATTGTCTTAAAGTAGCACAGTTAGCAATACAAGATAATCTTTTAGCTCTCTAGTCTTTATCTCTTAGGCAATACGAGTAAAAAGAAAGACTTACCAGTGGTGTTGGATGATTATATTCAGGATTAGTAGGTGATATGGAAAGCATAATCTAGGATAGGCCATCTACAAAGAACCATTAAACAAGTATAATGTTCTCCATGTCTCAGTACATCTAGCATTTCTTGTCTTTTGTCATCAGTATGCTCAACCATGAAGAAAACTCTGATGGAAAACCCCACTGGGAGCTGATCTGTTGGAGTTTTTCATTATAAGATATATTTTACAAGCGTTATTACTGCACAAGTCCCCATTTTTTTTTTTTTGAAGATTTTTATTTATTTATTTGACAGAGATCACAAGTAGGTAGAGAAGCAGGCAGGGGTGGGGGTAAGCAGTATCCCTGCTGAGCAGAGAGTCCGATGTGGGGCTCGATCCCAGGACCCCGGGATTATGACCTCAGCTGAAGGCACTGAGCCACCCAGGCGCCCCCAAGTCCCTATTTTCTAGCAATACTTTGGGTCGCCAAAAAAAATCAGGAGACACAAATATAAAGATAATTACACAGAACTGTTTAATGGGATATGCTGCAACCCTCAGATCCTCAGTACAACAAGAATTTAGACAAAGGATACTTCTTACGTTTTCTCTGTATTCCACCTCTACTATAGCCCCTGAACAGGGTTGGTACCAACCGATGCTCTTACCAGAGTAAGCTGAGAAAAATCAGACAGCCAACATCAGCAAATCTTTTTCAGTTTATATTTTAATTGAATACTTATTTGAAATTATTTAGAGCAAAAACCAACCCACACATTTAAAATAAGTATAGGTGAACCTAATCTAAAGATGTGTCCGACAGGCCATGAAATGGTGCCTTCAAATTTTATGTATTATTTTCACTCTCAGACTGATACCATGAGTGTTGTAGAGTTTTATCTTTAAAATGTGACATTTGGGGACGCCTGGGTGGCTCAGTTGGTTGGACGACTGCCTTCAGCTCAGGTCATGATCCTGGAGTTCCGGGATCGAGTCCCGCATCGGGCTCCCAGCTCCATGGGGAGTCTGCTTCTCCCTCTGACCTTCTCGCTCATGCTCTCTCTCACTGTCTCTCTCTCAAATAAATAAATAAAATCTTTAAAAAAAAATAAAATAAAATGTGACATTTGGGGCTGAGTAATGCAGAGATAATTGACTGTGGAAAGGTTTTGTTTTGTTTTTAAGATTTTATTTATTTATTT